TTATACTTCCTCTCTGTGTCTCTCCATCCATAGTGTTCCTCCTCCTCTCACCTCCTCCTCCTCTCTCCTCCTCCTTGTGTCTGTCCATCTCTTGTGTTCCTCCTCTCACCTCTTCCTCTCATCTTCTCCCTAAATCGTTCACTCCCCCCTCCGCTCACAGACTTGCCCCACATCTGACCGTGCCCTCACGTGCCTGTGTTTTGGTCTGCGCGCGTCTGGCAAATACACACCGGTCTTTATTACTCCCGATTACCCGACTGGTGGGTTGGGTTTTTTTAACGAAGATTAACGTAGATCAGTGGGCTACAGTGTAGAATCGGTGCCCTTGTGAGACGTATCTTAGTATCGATCCCAATGAACTGCATCTTAGTCTCGATACCGGTATATGGTATATAGTATCGATCCGCTTGTGGGCTACCGTGCAGTGGCAACGGCCCCATGGGCTGCAAGGCAGCATCGATCCCTTGTCGACTCCCGTCAAAGATCGTACATTATAACAAGATAGTTAACTCAGCCAAAAAAGTGTTCGCGGAAGTCCGCGCGTTGGTTCAGATGACGCTGCAGCCTTTGTTTTGCAGCTCTCTCTTTCGTTTCTCCAGAAGAAGAAGAGGAATAGCACAGTTGTTAGTTTAACGTTTATTGTTTTATACACAAGTAGGATAACTCAGATCGCATAGTCCGCACTTTTTCGTAGAGGGCACCATCGAATTTTGAGGACACTTTTTAAATTGGCTCAAATAAAAGAGTGAACTATAATATATTGTTATGTACGATCGTTGCTACCGTGTAGTATCGACGGCCCGTGGGCCGCAATGCAGTACCGAACCCCTGTCGACTCTCGTGTAGTATCGGTCTCGTGTGAGTTGCGTATGTATCGATCCCCTGTAAGCTGCAGTACGTATCGATCCCGCCTGTGGGCTGCAGTGTGTCTCGGTCCCACGTTTGTTTATACGATAGATTGGTGAGTCAGATAGGCCGGCTCTGGGTCTGGGAATTCCCGCGGAGATCTTAAGTGTAACAATAACACAGCGCTTTGATGGAGGGTTAAACGGCCCAGTTCTTCGGGGAATAAAGAAAGCCTCGTAAGGTTTTTTACGGCGCTTGCAACTGCTAAAGGTCATACGAGCGCCAAAAAGAAAGTCTCCACACGCTTCCTCTGGCCTCTCTACCTGTGAATTTTGGATGTCGTTTAAAGTGTCTCGCTGGGGAAAGAAGAGGGGAGGAGAGAGAGAGA